AAACATGGGTCGTCAGCTCTTGGCAAAGGCGAGCGCGATGTCCGGCCGTGCTTTTGGCACGGGCCTTACACAGCACTGATAGATCAGGCAGCTCGGATCCGACAGCTGAGCAGTCGTCAAGTGAAAACTTGCCACAAGCCATCAGTGACGGATCATCAAGTGCCGAACAATGAAACCGATACTCGTACGAGCTAGCGGATGAGGATGTCTTGATGAAAAACTGTGCCTGAACTTCCTCGATCACGCCGGCATCATCGAGCTCATCATCAACGGTTTCATGGACAGGGTGTTCACCCTTGACCAGATCATGAACAAGCTGGTGGATCATGCGGGCAGGAACACTAGAACGGTTGCGAGTATACTTAAGAACCATGGGGCCCGGGTCCTTCCAATTAGCTTGCAACCCGATCTCTTCCGTGGACCTACCTGCATGAACAGCTGCATCCAACATGGTCACTCGGGCTGAATGACAGGTGAGCTGATTAATCGAGCGCGCACAGGCCCTCCACTCGTCCGAGTCCCGATCGCCCCCGAATTTTTCCAAACTTTCACGAGCAAGCACCTTTAACCATTGGAGGGACCGCTGGTGAGTTGGGGGACTGGCCAGGAACTCGGACCGGCTGTTCAGCTCAGGGACCCAAAAATCACGCTCGTGCTCATCTGCGAAAAACAACTCCCAGCCGACTTGGAGCCAAGTCGCTTGCCGAAAGCCTACGTGCGGGATGGCAAAACGAGTGCCCTTCCTCTTCCGCTCGACTTTGGTTTGCCACGCGACACCGAACAACCCCGCGTTTTGCATACGGAGATCCTTCGGCTTCACGTGTTTTCCGTCGTCGAACCGTAGCGAAGCGAACACTAAACAAAGCCACCACCAAACGAAAACACGGCAAGCCCATGGATTGGATTCACCCACCACGAACTCCTCCAAACACCCTACCACTTTGGAGGGCATTGGGGCCGCCTCTCTAAGGGTCTCTGCTCGTTTGTTGATCACTTCATGTTGAAGGGCGACGATCGACGGTTCGTCCATGTTGGGGGGATCCATCACCAGTCGAGCACACACCCACTTCACTGCCGTCCTTAGAGTAAGCAAAACGGTCGGTCCACATTCACTATTATCTAGATGCAACATATACTTCACGACCTTGGGGGTTGTAAGGGGGAAGACCGGCCAACCGATCGAGGTCAGCCATGTCTCCATGCGCTCCCACACACGAACGTATGTCGCGATCGTTCGGGGCGCCCCAGACGTGAGTACAAGGTGCCTAAGCTTGTCACTTTCGGCGGGAGAAAGTCCCTCACCAGAAGCCGGACCATCCCACAGGTGAGCATGAGGTCCAGCTCGTCGACCGATTTGTTCTAGCCGAGCTGCCCACTTACGCCGTTCTGCATTTTCCTGATCGAGCAATGGTGAACTGGACGTGGCAGGAGCCACCACGCCGTGCGACCGCCTAGGAGCTTTGCTCTGTTTCTGGAACATCTCCTGGATCGCAGCAGCCCTCTTCAACCGAGCTGACTCGGGCGAAGTAGCGAGAGCTCGCACAGGGTCGCACATCCCGAACCCCAACTGGTTTGCAGTTGATTCGAAAAAGCTCTTCTCCACTGATGAGGCCAGGGACCAGAACTGTTCGAGTTGCGTGGGATCCTTCAACAGAGCATCTGCAATCTTGGGATCCAGAGTCACCGACCAATCCGCCACCTTTGCGACGAACTCGCCCCGGACTCCATGGACGAAACTAAGGCCAGGTTGCCGAACGGGCTCTGAGCAATGGCCTGAGCGAAGGCATCCGAGAAGACCGGAAATGAAAGGATCTTCCTCGCCCAACGCTCTGGATTCGTTTGAGCCATGATCACTCTCTTGAAGGAGAACAAACATAGGTTGGCCGACGATCGATCGTGTGAAATGAGCATGAAACATCTGACCTCCCTGAACCTTCGAACCTCCTTGCAACTGCAACCCTCGATCAAGCAAAACTCCACGAACTCACACAGCAATCGACAAAGGATCCTTGCCAGAGGGATCAAAGTGGACTGAACCCGTGAACAATAGAGGAGCTCAGTTTCAACACTTTGACCGCTATGGCTGGGATCCCACGACAGCTCTGGGTGCGGTTACCTGATGCCGGGCGCACAATCTTGCAAATGAAAAAGGCTCTACGTTTGAACAACTCTCGCATGCAGCTCGCGTGAACAATGTGAACGAGTGCGCAAATCTGAGCGAATGGACTACGACCGCACGATGGAACCGGCATCACGTCGTGTTGGACAAGAGCCGACTTACGTTGATCGAGACCGTACGCAGCAGAGCCACTCTTTCACTCACCACGAGCCAACGAGAGTCGTCGTTGGGATTGGTTCGATCGAATTTCAAAGATCTTGATTCCCAAGGTCTGATGACCTCTAAATTGGAGGAAAAAGGAGAGCCAGATTCACTGGCCCCTCAAACGTCCGTGATCTCGGGGCCATCCTTTCCGGGCCCAAACGATCGTGGCACTCCTGAGGGCAAATGAGTCTCCCGGTCTCGCTGATTCAGCTCTGCAAATTCCTCCACCGACAATGTCATGGTGGAGCGCAGAGGATCCTCGTGACCCGCCATGGCGCGTTCGACCCCTGCCACGAAAGCCTGTGGAGTGACCGCTGCCGCAGCGATTCGCTCATTGTTTCGAGCTTCAAGGGATCTCCGCGTTACATGAACTGCCCCTGCTGGGTGCTGAATCTGTGTTGGAGCCTCACCTGGCTGGGTCAGCGACACATGAGCTTCCTGCAGACCCATGATCTGAACTGAGCTATGAGCCTGACCAACTAGGGCACGAACACTTCCCGCCTGCCGAGACGATGGTTGAGCAGAAGGGCCCCCGCTCACCGGCGGCAGGATCATCGTCGCTCTCTCCAGTTCAGGATCATGGAACTGCAATGCCAAAGCATCCACAGGAACGATCGCCTTCTCTTGCTTGAAAAGTGGGGACTCGCAAATGAGGTGGAGGTTGAGCTCATGAGAATCCACAGCAATTGCCCCCACTCGCGGCCCGCAATCCGCGATCGAGTCTGCCTGCATGGCAGCCGTCCAGTGGGCATGAACTCCCGCGAGCTGCGACAACTGCATGATCTGGTCGGGCCCCTCGATCCTGGCATAGCGACGTCGACACCAATCTGAGTTCTTCACGAGCGTAGGACCCGACACCCTTGAGACCATGAGCCAACTCGCCGGAGCCGAGACCGAGGAGCATGCTAGATCCAGCTTGTCCCCAGCTGAGACGAACCGCATTTCCAAACGATCCGCGTCCCATCCGAACGCATCGGCCGATGCCACTGCCGTCATTCGGATTTCGAAGTGGCGCAATGGATAATCCAATGCGATCACGATGCCACCGTCCGAGCATGCGTACAAGCGGCCACCCACCTCGAACGAGATGGCGACCACCCTCCAGCCCTGGAAAACAGTGATGACCACCGATGGAACACACAAAAGGTCCGCCAGGCCCAAGACGAGCGCATCGTTGATGTAGTTCAACTGAATGCTCATATCTTTGTCTGAGCGATACCCTCTGAGCTCAAGATGCAAGAGCAAGGAGCCTTCGACCTTGAACTTCAAATCCATCCAGGTCGCAGAGTCATCCCTCATGACCGGCCACCTGAACGGTTGGAACGCCTGGTGGGAGAGAACTCTCCCTGTGTCGGCATCCCATCGAGCTGCAGGCACTGAGCTATACGAGGACATCGATCCGCACAGAACGAGCTTCTGCCCATCCAGGGTCCTGATGTAGAACACATTGAAGTGGTACCCTGCGTTGGGGGATCTCACCAAAGCCCGATCAGCATGAATATTGATCCCTGCCTGGGCATTGACCAAGATCTCATCTAAGAGCCATCCTTGGTAGGGACTCTGCAACCGTTGATCACGGCTGTCCAAGACCATCACGGATCGCTCTCCTTCTTGGGACCCAATCTGCCTCAGGTAGGCAGGGAGCTGAAAGTTCAAAGGACTCCTCAAGGGCGGAGCTTGTCCCCAACGAACTCCATAGGCGCCCTTCCGCTGAGCTCGGGCTTGCTGGCGCCTCAGTCGCCGACTGGCTGCAGTCTCGTTGACTCCTTCGAGCAAATTTCGAGCTGCCTGAGTGGCAGGAGCTGCTGCACTGGCTGCTCGGGGGTACTGGAGCTACTGGAGGATTTGCTACAGGTGGTGGAGCCGTAGCGCACCAAAACACTGGAGCATCATCTGCAGCCCAAGGATCCTCTTGGGCTGGGCCAGTGATCACTTTTCCGGCTTCCGACTTGTTCTCTTCGATCACTGGCATGGTGGATTCATTCACCTCCTCGATCACAGGCCCAGTTGCCTTGACTCGAGTCCATGAAGCACTGGATCCAGTTGCAGACCCCACCATGCTGGCGCTGTCATCCGGCATGACATGCTCTGAAGCTCTCAGATGAGCCATTGCGAGCTGCTTCTGGAGAGCAGGGGGAGGCGCCTTTGGTGGAGGCTTCCTGGGAATCTGACTTGAGGAGAGCTTGCCATGGCACCGTGACCCCAGGCCCTACTGAACAAAGCTAAGCACTCAGAAGACCGCAAAAAAATGATCTGGGTCACTGGTGCCAAAAAAGCCTTGAGTCCAAAATGGCACCAGCAACCGAAAACTAAAAAGAGCAACACGATGGACTAATCTTACCAAGTTACCCACCTGTTCCAAACCCACCTAACCGACAACAGTTGAACACCATCAATGCGGTCATGATCTCAAACAACACCACAGCCAAACAAGATGCAGAACAATAAAGCTAAGAATTCACGAGTGGATGACGCACAAAGACCAATGCAGAATCAATTCCAGAAGGAAGGGCCGTGCACGAACCCCAGATTGAATCTTTTGTTTGCTTTGCTGCTCTTTTTCTGCATTGAAGCCACAAATAGCCGGCCACTGGCTCCATGCATCGCTGACAAACCGGTTCAATGTGAATGCAAAGTTTCCTTTGAACACTGAATCCTTCAGGTGCAAGCTCGTGACTGCCGGATCCTCATCACCACCAAGTGCTGCGATCGGGACATCCAACAGGGATCGATTCTCCGCCTGAGCAAGAGAAACCCGCACGAGAATCCAAGGTTCCAAGGACAGACCATCACAGAATTCAGCCAGAATCCAATTGTAAAAGAAAGGAATGAATGGTTTTTGAGAGCTGCTGAGCACTGCTGGGCAGCTTTTGCACCTCCCTGAGAGTGTCTGAAAGTCTCCCTGAGAGCCCCCACTGGCATATAGGTCTCGTAGAGTTGAAAATCACTGCGAAGTGCTGGCATCAAGGCCCTGATTGGACCAAGACTCATCGAAAGCTTGCCAAGCTTAGTCGAAGCGTGCTTTTCTGCGTTCAACTTCCTAAGCCACCCTTCTCAATGGTTGCCTTGAAGGTCAAGACTTGACAAGAAAAACGGTTGCAGTAAATATGTGTGCAGGTTCTCTGGGGTGTTAAACATGCAGAAGTGTTTTCGAAAGTGTTCGTCGCGGTTGGACGACTCGACAGCTGTGGGTGCGCAGTTTCTCGTGCTAGCAGAGCTCAGATTTAATGGCTCTTCTTTAATGCAAAGACTGGAGGCCGGAGAAGGAAACAAACGATCTGAAACACTGCACGACTGACTATTGTATCTCTATCTCAGAATCATCCCTTCTATCTTTTTGCATACAAAAAGAGAGACGGAGGAAGAGAAAGAAAGAAAGAAAGAAAAAGAGAGAGAGAGAGAGAGCCGCGTTCAGGTCCTGTATTTCCCTAAAACGGAAGAGTCTTAATGGTGTTTGTGCGTGTTCACAAGTGAAGAATCACGAGCAAAGCACAGGCACGGATTGAAAAAGGCAAAAGGTAGACCTTTTTTGATTGAACAGGTTCATGGATTAGCAAGCACTCCAAACTTTGCCAAAAGATTGAAACGATACTATCAAGCGTGCTTTTGTATGCCTTGCCTCAAAAGCTCAGAGCTCAGATCCCTTGGCAGCACACCAAACGATCTGGTCGCCTCTCACCAACAAGCACACTTTCAGACGCTTTGTAGCACCCAGCCAACTTTGGCATCTGTGATGCACCAAAGAGACCCCGAGCCACTCGAGCCTCTAGCAGCGCCTCATCCGAAAGTTTGTGCAAGCTCCTCGGTCCGGGATAGCTTTTGTTTATCCTTGTTGGGAGTGCTTAGCAGCACTTCTACAAAACACATTAGCAAAGAAACTTCTAGCTATCCTTCGAAAGCTTCAATGGCCACTCTGACCTCCATCATGACTTGCAAATCAATAATCGACTCTTGAAGCGACAGTCACACAATCGACTCAACCCATAGTGCCAAGCACCTGGCCCCCAATGCTGAATGTTGCGCTCCAAGCGCATCGATGCCTTGCTAGCGCCACAAACTGAACCTTTTGACAAAGTCTAGTGGAGCCTATAGTCAGACATAGATCTTGTGCCAAGAGTTTTTTGTGCGTGTGCGTGTTTCTGAAGTTTTTTTTGATGTATGCGTGCACTTTGTGTGTCCACACAGGGATTGGATTGGTGCCGTGCGCGCAACTGGTTTCATATCCTCCCATAATCACCCTCAAGTGCCTTCTATTTCCTCCGCATTCTCGTCTCTGTCCGGTCTTTCTGGTTCTTGGGTTCGAGCCGGATTCTAAAACTGGAGAGTCCGGAATCGAGATCGTTGCGGAAGTACGATAGTTGCGGAATCTCAGTTCTTGAACCTGATTGTCCCCCTCAAAGGAGTGTGCATGCGGAATGTATGTCTTGATTCTACCGAGTCAAACGCGAAAACGCAAAAATTGTCATTGTGTTGGGCTGCGTTCTTGCGAAAAAATGCGAAAGTATCAAATTTGGACTTGGGAAAAATGGTGTTAACACGAAAATACACTAAAATCCTGAAAACACGAAAACGGAAAAATCGCGAAAACGACTGTCTAGATGTCTTGTTGACTTGAAAGGTGTGATTTATCTATTACATTCTATTACGCCGTGCTGTTGCGATTAGCCAGTGCGAAAGTGGTATCAGCTATCAGGCAAATCAATCTATAGTGGCCAAACTATCCAGCAACATTACCTGGAGATGAGATGAATACTAAAAGATTGTATCGGTTCCAAAGTTCCGTTGCCACTCGCAGGACTCGAGCCATGTCCTTTTTTCGCAGGCGTCGTTAGTGTCGGCGGGCTCCGCCATGGGCACGACTATATAAGGTCTATGAAGAAGTCGTGCAGCCATCTGTCAGACTCTTTGCATGCTTTGGAGCGTTCTCAGATTGCTGTTTGGACTCTTCTACGATCCAATAGTCAATGGAGATGTGGAAGTTTCCAAAACACGGAAACAAGTTGGTCAACGCATGCAGTCTGTTTGAAACAAGAAAGTGTTTAAGATCCGTCGAGAACCTTCCTTCACGAAGTTTAGGGGATTCACTTCTCAGGACGTTTCAAAACAGAGTAGTACCGCCACGAAAACGCGAAAACAAAAAAATGAAATGCGCGAAAAATCCGCGAAAACACAAAACACCCTGTTGTTTTCTAGTTTGTTCCGTTTCTCAGTTTTCGTAGTTTCTTGTTGTTCCAAGTTTCTGCTCCCTTTTGCGAGCAAGATAGGCCAAAGACATCCAAAAAACTATATAATAGGAAATCAATGAAAACTGCGAAAACAGAAAAAGAACAAGAAAACGCTTCAGTGTTCATATTTTCTCGTTGCTCTCCGGTTTTTGTACGATGCAGTCTTTGTATCCTTAGACACCCCCCCCATCTCCTGTTTGATATTATTGTTTTTCGGACTTCCCTTTTGCGGAGATATTTGTGAAATCCCAGTTGTGAAGTACACTTGCGGGATTCCAGCTGCGGAATCAAGACAGTTGCGGATCAAGACAGTTGCGGACTCCCAGTTGCAGAATCCCATTGCGGAACCCAGGAACCCCATGGTGAAATCCAACCAGTGCAGTTGCGGATTCCGACTTTATCCGGTCTTCATGAAACTGATGGACCAACATGTACAGAAACACATGATGTACGAAAAGCCCTGGTCTACTGAGTCCTTGTGAAGCAAACATTGCGTACTGAATTGGCGATCACATGTTTCTTTCCCGTGAGATCTCGTGTGGGCCTCTGAGCGTTCGGAAAAAAAGGGGAAAGGTCTGAAAGTTCAGCGTGCTGCGTTACTTCCTGTTTTGCTTTCTCGTCATCCTCAAATCTCATTGACTCCAGAAACCATTGTAGAGATACCAACAATTGTTCACGTGCGGGCGTATTCTTTGTCCATTTTATATGGGTGTCAAACACGTTCTGATGCGTCGGCACTCTCACACTCGGCCCAACAATGGTCCGACAAGAGCAGGCACTTATATTCACTTGGAATCTCTCTCAAACGATCAACTTTCGTCTCACATTTCATCGCTGTAGCAAAGTGCAGTAGGCGTTTGGAATCACATGTTCGGTCGGCATTAGTGCTTGGCGGAGAATCCAAACTTCAAAGCGAAGCAAATTCACAGACCGTCGGTGTGGGGTAAGCTGCGTTCATGCGCAAAGTAAATAGAGGCAGAGTGCGAACGGTCCAAAGCAAACACCTCTTCAGGTGGCTAAAGTCATGATCACCAGTGTTGAAAGAGCCTCCCTCTGCTGATCTTCACGCTCTTATCATTCCTTCAATGACCTTCGTTGTCATATTACAGAATGCATTTGATTTGTACGATTTAGCGAGCAAAGCAAAGACCACATACCCAGACCCCACAGGCCTGACACATCGTGTTCGGCTCTTTCTTCCAATGTCTTCTCATGCTTGAGTAACTAACTCTCATTGGTTCCTTCACATTCTTTCAACTGAACAGTGTGTGTGTGTGACATATAATCTCTTGCTTGTTTTCGACAGGGGGCAGTAGCCCACACATGAGTCTACTGCCAACAAAGCTGCTCATGAGATTGGGAGTACATTCATCAGGGCAGATCTCCCTAAAGTACCTGCTGTGATGACCATTGTTTCCTCTTGGGCCGCGTTTTAACTTTAACAATTTGGCCAGCCATTGCATCGGTTTTGAGCTCAGTCGTGCACCCTTTCCAACATTGAGCCTTTTGAGACTGTGAACCTTCCAGCTTATCTGGTTGATCCTTGCACTGTTACGTGCCACTGCACTGTTCAGGCCTTTGTTAAACCTAGATGCCTTGGGGTGCAACCGCGCTTGGTCATATGTAACATGTTTTGATGGCAGCATACTGCGGGTTTAATTTGCTGGCTTGCAAAAGCAACATGACAGAAGATTGAGAAGCATAAAACGCAAAATGAACGGCATACATAAATCCAAGAATCCTACAAAAGCCCATGTTACGCAAAAATCAGGTCTTGTCTGCCAAAGGTTTCAGCGAAACCTTTCTGCCATCCCATGAAGCAGTCAAGCAATTTGGCTAAAGAAATTTCTGTTCCAACCAAGCCAAAGGACCAAAAGGCCCGCTGAGAGAATGTTGAGACTTTTCAAAATATACTGGTTCAGGATGATCACAAAGTTTCAGGCAGTTGTTGGAGTGCAATGAGGAATTGCAACCTGTTTGGCTCCTCTTCTTATAGATGCTGTCTACAGTCTACAAGAAACGATGGGAACTATTCAAGCTTCAGTGACTGAAGGTAGCACACAAATCCGGGCAGTTCTTGATCGCGTTGTTGTGTCGTTGGACCATGGAGATAGAATTGTCCAGCGTTGTGCAGATCTGGAAAGCCATCGCATTGCTAGGTTGGCCATGGTGGTACTTGAAACAGCCACCAGTCAATCGCAGCTTGTCGTCCAAGTCTGGGCTGCCCTGAGATGAACCTTTGCTTCTGGCCCACTCCCTTCGCTGGTCTGCACTTAGACTATCGATCTGCCAACCTTGCACTCAGCATCAAGCTGGCCCCCCATGGCCACTCGCAAAGATGTGCAACGGCCTGGGCCTAAGAAGCGGGTGCTGCACGTCATCTACCTCACTCTACCCATCCCTCTCTCTGCATAATCTCGAAGTTACTTAATACTTGCAAACCTAAAGGTCAAATGTCAACGACTGGAGGTCAAGCAATTATTCTCTTTCCCAAACCCTAGGTGCGGACCGGCCAGGCACCATATCTGCATCAAGTTTCCTGGTCAAATCTGCTTGCCCTGGATAACTCTCTGGTCAGCTAAAACTACCAATGCAGAAAGTGAATGCAAACAAGGAACAGCAGTGTAACATAGTGTGACGAGGCTGCATAAGCAAAGCATAAGAGCGATGAGATGTGATGAGAAGCAATGGGTGTCGGTCCGTGAGTGAGCGAGTGATATGCAAGTCAGTGCAGGAATGCCCAATACTATGCCCAATGCAAACGGCGAGTGGGCATGAAAGAGAAGGCTCAGAGAAGGAGTGAGAGCCTTGTTGCCGACCTGTCATAGTCTTGTCATCTTGTCATATCGTGTCATAGCCATGTTGCCGAGAAAAGAACCTGAAAAACAATGTTTGAGATCCTGGCAGGCTATCACGAAGATAAGGCTGACAAAGTAGTGAGAAGAAAATTGCAGTTATAGAGGGATTCTGCACCAAAGTTCAAGAGGATAGAAGGATGCCCAGGATGTCTTGATACGCATTGGTTTAAGAAAAAAGAACTGATCACGAATAAGCATCTCTCGCTACACAGGCTCCACATCCATTTCGGCAGTCCTTGCAGTTTCATAGGCCACCAGCGCACCCAATGAGTGTCCAAAGAAAGCGTATGGAACCCCATCCACCAAGCCAGAGACCTGCATGGACTGGCAAATACCAAATCCGGCAAAACGGAACAAAGGTAAAATTGGGCGTGGAAACAACAAACTTCAGAATTGTAGAGTGGTGGAAGCATCCAACAATTGTCCCATCTTCTTTAACTTGCCTTACCATTGCCATTTGTCTCTCTTTATCGCCTCTTGCTCCCTTGCTTGCTTTCTCCCTCGCTACTTCCGCCTCTTCTTCCCCGTCACTTCTCTTCTGATTCCTTCCTGGTACTTCCCCTGCCCCGGCTTCTTGCTCAGATCTCCTTTTCAGCCTGTGCTTTTCTGCCTTTCCTGGCTTGTCCCATTATCGCTCATCATCTTCATCTTGTCCCATCCGACCTCTCCTATGTGAACATATGCAATGCATATATATTATAGATATATACAGTACTATTTGTAAATAATACAGAGGGTTGGAATGCAGCAGCCAAAGTTTCAAATCATGCAGGCGCTCAAAATACTATATACTGCATCCAAATTCATCTGCCGCAGTCAGCTCGCAATGCACTTGCATGTGCTTCTGCAAACAGAGGTCAGAAGGCTGAGTGGAAGCTTCCACCGAAACATGCTGGCTGATCAATGTGCAAACTGTCGCCGTTCGGCAGAACATCACAGCTCGGTCTGACAGAATCATTAATATCCAAACCAAAATCCGCCAAGATTCGGAGTATGCAAACATCAAAAGTTCGAATGGTTGCTTGTTGCTCCTTAGGGCTCTCGTTTTGCTTATGAGCATCGTTTCTTGCTCTGCCTCAAGTGCTTCACAGATTCTGCCGACAAGGGTGTCCATGTCCTGCACTCAAAATTATCCTCGACTCTCTCAGCAATGGCAAACAAGTGGTGAGGAACCGCATACAAACCCTCATGAATCCAATAATAAGATTGGTTTGAACATAAAGTACAGCATACAGAACGGAATCTGCACCAAAATTGGCTTTGGCTTGCTGCTCCGTGAGGCTAGGAATCTCCACACGTCTCTCCCGACCTGGCGCTCAAAAGAACTCGCTAAGTGTATGCAGAACCATGGTGAACTTCAACACTTGGGATCACTGGAAGGATATTTATGTGTATGTATATATATATAACATAAATATATATATATATAACAAACTTGGTTGCAAACACGTTCCCCTCAAGCCTGGCGCAGAGATGGTTACCACTTCCACAAGTGCATCCTCGCAGAGCTGGTGTTTTTTGTTTTGTAACTGTTCAAGTCTCCATGGCAAAAAGAACATGAGTGTTCACAAAATGTTTTTGAAATACACTCCACTCATGTATGTACGTGTGTTTCAATTACAGTGAACCACAATTTCTGCATGGTCCTCGAAAACTTCAGGCCATGCTGAAAATGCTGAAGGACCGCCACCACTGTGAGGAAAGCAAACCAAGCGGACCTGTCACAGGAGCGCTTGGAAGGCTCACGTCTCATGAATGAGGCACCACTGTAACGTTGTTGGAAGTCATAGCGATGCTCGAAGTCACATCGAAACAGGGCGCAGCGCAGCGCAGCGCAGCTGGGCGCAGTGCTCGGGCATTTGCCACAGGCTTCGCTACCACCAAAAAGTCACTTGCCTCAGTGGCCACTGAAGTCACTCGCCTTGTTTGTCTGATCCACAAAGGACCAGCCTCGATGTGAGCCATGATTCCTGCCGACTTGAGCAACTTGACATTCAAATTGGAGAGAACACTCTAACCTGCCTGGCCACAAAAGGAGCCCAAGCAGCTCTCTCAGGCTAAGCTTGATATGCCAAGATCTACTTGCAAAAGTCTTAACTTGATGGTTTCTTGTTGGGTGGTGGGCCATTTCAAGTACTGGTGGATAGAAGCGCCAGTCCCATTTCATGTGTCTCTGAACGAACCAAATGATGAACGCGTTCGCTTGTACCCAACTGCCATGAACAACTGCTGAACCGCTGACAAATGAGCCACACCAGCAACACGCCACGGCGCATGTCGAATGTGAATGTGAATGTGAATGTAACGGCCTGTGCAACTTAGAGACAACATGTACTCAACCTAAACAAGCTGAGTGTCCATGTGCATATTCCTCTGTATAAATTATCAAGATGGATGCCTCGATACAAGTGCATGTTGAGACTCGCAAAGGAGGTTGAATATGTTTCAATACAAAGCACCAGTGTCCGTCACTCAGGAGTCAGGAGGCTACCAGCTGCCTTGTGTATTTTCCCTTTCTGTGCTTTGGTACAGTTTCCGCTGCAAATAAGGAAACCAAAAGATCCTTAGACAAAGAACTAGGATTTTCATTTTCACCTGAACTGAAAATTAAAAAGTTGGCACAACAAGAGATTCTCGATCAAGAAAAAATGCACACTGATGCAGCCAATCAAAAGCCCCTGGACCTCATGGACGGTGAGACCTTTTTCTCTTCTTTTCGGTGGGTTGCACAAGCCTCAACAACGGCTGCAAGCAAAGCTTGTCGAGCAATGCTTTGCACCTCACAATCTTGTTGTTGCACCAACAACCTGGTCCCCTGCAACTTGCATTTGGCCTACAAAGAGTCAAGGGCAACCCATCGCGTTGCCCACTACCTCCAAAGCAAGCCGGAAGAAAAACAAAATCCAGCGCATACTAAAGTAGTCACAGGGTGGTCTTGGGACATTCGAAACTTGAGAAGAGGGATACACGAAAGGCAGGACAGCGGGAGGAGAACAGAAGCATGTAACATGTGCAGTGTGGTGTTGGTTGAGTCGAGTCTAACGTCAACTTGAAAGTGGTGGAAAAGACCAAAAAAATTGACACAAATGCATTTCAAAAAAATATATGTGTTTTTTCATTTACAGTCACATGAAAAAAACCCTCAACGACAAAAAACACCAAAACAACATGTCATGTTTCTTCATGGACTCAAACACTGCCCCAAGCTTGGAGTGCTCAACACCACATGTCCATCGAGCCATCGAGGTGATCCACATCGAGCCATCAAGGTGATCCACTTCGAGTTAAAGCGGTCAAAGAGGAAAGCCAATTCCAATAATTGTCAGATCGGAGGCCATGGGTCAAACACGTCAGACTTGAGAATCTGCTGAAGGTGGATGAATTGGAGTGTGTGGGGCCGACATTCAAAACATGGCTTTGTTGTCCGGTTTCCACATGTGCTGGATCACTGGCGCACTTTGGATTCAGTAAAAAAGGCGCTAGCCAAACTCAAGGCCCTGAAGGGCCGCATCAAACCTGCAAAACTGATGGAAGCCGACCCGCTCTCCGATGCCCTACTCAAGATCAAGAAAGCACGCTGCCACGCTGCATTGCAGCTGGTGCAAACTTGGAATGTGGCCCTTCCAATGGGCATTGTCAAAACCCTCTCTAAGTTTCTTCTCTGACCTGTTAACTGAAACTGAAAGGCAAAAGTTCAAAGGAAAAGGGACAGCCAGACTCAGTCCTCCGATGTTTGCTTGCATCTTCTTCAAAAACGAGCTGGTTTTAAACGGTGAGCCAAGCAGAAAGACAAGTGTGTGCGCGGTCACGAGTGACGACTCTGCCATCTCAGCAGAGGTCGCTGGCTTGGCTGATGTTGGTTTCGTTTGTTTTGTGTGATGTGGGCGGGCAGTTGAGTTGGTTGGAAACATGCCCCAAAAGGCAGAAGTAGTTTTTCCAATGGTTCCTGGCACGGACGAATCACCTTTCCCTGTGTTGCCTCTGCTTCCATTGTGTTCAAACGTTGACCTGGACCTTCTCAGCTCGTTCACCAATCCACCACCAAAAAACCTACTACCTTAAGTGGATTGCAAGTGTCCTAAACACAAAACGAAAGCACGCGGCAGCTCACAAGCAACGCAAAAACACTCGCACCACTTTTACGCGCACTCCTTGAGCCTCCGGTTGCCTAAGCTCTGGGACAAGCTGTTCCCATGCGAGAGACTGAAAGTGTCGAGCTTAAACGCACGTAAACATACACAAAACTGTTCAGGAAACATTTGCACTACAAAAGCTACAAAACTTCTGTTCACAAAAACATTATACATTCCATGAGCTATGCTCTCGAAAGCTCTCAAAACACTTCAAAACACAAAATTCCGCCAAGGAACGCTTGCTCAAACATTGAAAATGCAAAAACTTCACAAAGCGCTTCGACATGAGCGCTGCTGTTCTCAAAACAGTTGCTCTTCACACGAAGAAGCCATGGATCCATCGAAGACTTGCTTGACCGGACATTCAAGCAGATGCACGAGTGAGCGCTCGATTGTTGGAAACAGCATTCTATTTTCCTTTCGGTTTTGGAGACTTGCTTGGCGAATGAGAATGACGACGGAGTGAGAAGACGTGCTTGGACACTGGGGAGGCCCTCTGCGGCGAGACCGGTTTTCGCTAGGGCTTTTGGGCCCCAAACTGGTGTCCAGAAAAATCACTTTTCTCGAAGGAGCAAAAAGGTTGGAAAACCTGTGAGATTTGAGAATTGCTGGGGAGAACGCGTTTGGCCTGCATGATGTTCTTGATCGAAAGCAATCAAGCTTACGGATCACGGTCAGCTGCTTCTTTCGGCAGTCTGAATGCGGCCTTGCACGCTTGGTGCATGGTTGTTTGCTACAAAGCTTGTGGTGGACATCCGCCGTGAGTCGACCTAGCGCCCTGAGACCAAACATTGTGAACCCATTCTTCGTATTTTGTGGAAGGAAGGGTGGGGAGATGTGAAGCGAAGGTTTGGCGCCGTGGAGCCTGTCATGTTTGCGTATGTTCACAGGAGCCATCTCTGGTCCTTCAGTATGGCAAGGAAAACTTGTTTGGTTTTATTTGACGTCGTTGTTTGACGCACGTTGTGAAGGATGGGGTTGTGAAAAGATATGTTGAGGTTTTGAGCTCACGTCCTTGATGTTTGTTGCAAGCTACGCCAGGCTTCCGCCTGGGTCCCGATTCCATCTTAGCCTAGCGTCAACGTTCAAATTTTCCCTTGCACCGCGCTATAAGGGTTTTTGCGGTTACAATCAAGCTCTGGGTTGGGTCGGACCGTCTGTTACAGTGCGCGGCACCACCTCGGTGCCACTTCATTACGGCTCGCGCCCTTTAGTGCAATGCGCGTTCCGCCTCGGTGCCGCTTGGGCCCTCTGTTCCAATGCGCGGTGCCGCCTCGGTACCGCTCGGGCCCTACATTGCAATGCGCGGTACCGACCCTGTTTGCGTTTTTGCAAAGTTTTGGTCGGATCGGAGTGAGGAACTTCCAAGAAAACACAAAGATCAACAGAAAGCCACGAAACGCAACCTTACCATTGTGGCCCGGCGCTTCTTCAAACAGGGCGCTCCACACTTGCGCCAAGGCATTCCAAGTGTGCTTCGCGCTCATTCTCAAGGCGTGGACCTGGCCATTGACCATCCAAAGATGAAAGGATCGCCTTGACGATTTGGAAGATGCGGTTGTACATTTCCTACCCACGATTTGCAGCATCAACACTTTCGGATGTGAGGTGGATTTCATTTTCCGGGCAGGAACCTCTAAAAAGGACCCTATATGGGACGCCCTTTGCACGTTTCAACCTTAGTCGTCCAAAAACCATTCGATCCATGCTCTCGCTTTGAAATTCCAAAGTGGGTCAACCTCCTCCCACGAGATGGGAAAAGACTCCAATGGATTTGATGAACAGGAAGCGTGGCATTGAGTACCCTTGTCTCGTCCATATGTCTGAGCCGACAGCAACTCGAGAGCACCTGTGCACTGACAGAGTGAAGCGGGGGTGGGCGACTTTGCCAGCCGTGTGCAAAGTGCACAGCTAACATCACCCCGAACCGGTTTCATGTGGGCACTGCATGACTTAACTGCACGCCACGACACAATGCCTCCCTGCCAGCAATGTTCGCAACTTGGCGGTTGCGCGCTCCCTCCTGGCCAAGTTGTTGCAAGAGAGAGATGTGAACCAAGCAGAAAAACAAAAAAAGAACAAACAAAACAAAAACCAACCCAGAAAGGAGCAAGGTTCGTATTTGAGGTGGGCTGCGTCAGCCAATGCAAAAAGATGAAACGGAGGGGCAACGAATTCATCCTCCACGCTCAGTACTTCACGGTCAGATTGGCTATTTTTCCTCAAAGGAAGAATGGACCATCTGACGCAACAATGAAAGGCCGCACTTTGACGTTGGCCTCTCGCTTGGAGCGTCAAAGCTTGCGTGTTAGCAGTGGTTTTCCAAGGCTGGAAAGAATGAGCAAATGAGCATTCTCATGAACACACATTGTCTGCACATGGTTCGGACCGGGACTATGCTGTCAGACTTGGCCTAAGCTCGTTCACTCCTGCTTGCACGGACCTTTGAATGCTCGAGCGCATGCTTGCCTGTCCGCACACCTCACTTCATAGAGCAAATGACGTGACAGAATTGAAAACCCACAGGTAAAGAGGATTTGCTCACTCCCCAGCACGTCTACAAGCTGTTCCACTGTGCCTGTCAAGCAAAGGCCTAACCTGCTGCCGCTGACCAATCAGTGTGGATCAATTCCTCTCCGCTGTTGGTGAGCCGACCTAACTGTGAGCCTCAACTCCTTGCCTGTGATTGGCGCGCGGCGCACTCAGGTGAGAACCTCAGTTCTTCGTCTGTGGGAGTCTGCACTCAGCCAATCTTGTTCAAAGATGGCACAAAGTGCCACGCCAGGAAATGTTTCGGTTCACCTGTTTCACCAAAGCCGTGATTGGG